TGTATAATGTTGGAATGTCTCCACTGACTGCTGGGAATCTAGCATCCTCAGTATACTACTTTTTTTTATTTTTTTTCACATCATTTAATATCTTTTTTTACAGTATACTAAATCCTCAGTATACTATTTTTTACAGCATATAATATATATATATATATATATATATATATATATTTCAAGTATAATAAATGTAAAATGAACAAGAATATCAGTTTTATAGGCAGGATGGACGAGTATGGATGCTATACAGTATAATGGATAGCATGAAGCAGAGTGGGGGTTTTATGCATTTTAAGGGCTGAATTAGACACTATATTACTGTCTCACTATATACTACTATACTTGAATATAATTTTTGCTAGAGCAAATATATACAATCTAAATTGATGATTTTCAACTAAAGATTCACAACCTATTGCAGGTATGTTTTGATAGGGTCAGAAATGTCAAGAAAAAATGCTAAACAATGCTAAATGCACATAATAAAATGCAACTAACCATATAATCAAAAGATAAAAGTAATAACACTTTACAATAAGGTTTCATTTGTTACCATTAAACAATCAAACAATACTTCTACAGCATTTGTTAATCTTAAGTTAAAGGAACACTCCACTATTTTTGAAAATAGGCTCATTTTCCAACTCCCCTAGAGTTAAACAGTTGAGTTTCACCGTTTTCGAATCCATTCAGCTGATCTCCGGGTCTGGCGGTAGCACTTTTAGCTGTAGCTTAGCATAGATCATTGAATCTGATTAGACCGTTAGCATCTCGCTCAAAAATGACCAAAGAGTTTCGATATTTTTCCTATTTAAAACTTGACTCTTCTGTAGCTACATCGTGTACTAAGACCGACGGAAAATGAAAAGTTGTGATTTTCTAGGCCGATAATCAAGGAACTTTGCTGCCGTACCTTGGGTGCAGCAGGCGCAATGATATTACCATAGACTGTATAAAAACATGGACGTACTGTCCGTGACGTCACCCGTAGGGTTCCGAAGATAGTTTTTAAAGCTCAAAAGTGGGCGGAGGCGGCCGTCGCCATCTTGGCAGCGCGTCACCGTGCGTCACTCCCGGATAATCGAAGATGGGCAAAGAGGCGGGAGCTGGTTGTTGAAACCACGCCCACCTAGCTCGATGGTGGTGACAGCAGCGGCAATCCACCTGTCACTCAAGTGGCCACGCCCTTAATTATGCAGAACTTTAAGGCTTAATATAATTTAAACGGATGAGTTATAAAAAAATTCACCCCCAAAAATCGGTATCGGAATCGCCCATGAAAAATCATGATCGTGCATCACTACTTGGGATGATCACATCCTGAGCAAATGGTGACCAATTGTAGAATGGGAGCAGGTGTGGGACACTGAGAACCACCTCAGACAAAAGGGGTGTCAGAACTTAATTAACATACAGACCACAGCTGTAACAACAGGAGCAACTTCCTTTACATTGAGGGTAAACTCTAAGTGTATAAAATGTTTGAGCTTAGGATGTTCGGGGTTCATTCTGACTCTGCTGAATCCGAAGTGCTGCCTGTACTTTGTCACTACTATTCTGTAATAAAAGTTATTCTTCATCAAGATCTTCGACGTCTTCACTTTTTCTTACACCTAGCTGGGGACTATTTTCAGGCACTGCGTATTATCATTGTGCCTGCTGCACCCATGTTACGGCAGCAAAGTTCCTTGATTATTACGCTGGAATGAGAGTATATCTCTAAGTTTTAAATAGGAAAAATATAGAAACTCTTTGGTCATTTTTGAGCGAGATGCTAACGGTCTAATCAGATTCAATGATCTATGCTAAGCTACAGCTAAAAGTGCTACCGCCAGACCCGGAGATCGGCTGAATGGATTTGAAAACGGTAAAACTCAACTGTTTAACTCCAGGGGAGTTGGAAAATGAGCCTATTTTAAAAAATAGTGGAGTGTTCCTTTAAAACTCATACAGTCGTCCAATTTTTTTAGGGACAGACCGAAATCATGATAAGAGTAATTTTACATTATAACAATGACACAATTCCCAACT